TGGTTAAAACTAGATTAGGACGTATATTTCTAAAGCTCATCAAGAAACATTTCCTCAACCCAAAAACTAACACACTGAGTAAAATATTTAATCCTAATACCCTGAAATTAAGCTATAGTTGTGCGAATAAACTAGAGAAAGTAATTAAAAAACATAACAACAGAGTCTTTAACAAGTATAGGGACTCAAAAAACTTGATTACTCGCCAGATTGCAAGCAACACTACTAAGTATAATGACACGAATAACAACTTGTGCAATTGTAAGAATCCTAATTATTGTCCACTACAAAATAATTGTTTGACTTTAGTTTATCTTAGTACAATCTCTACAACAGAAAACCCAAATATAAAAAAAATTACATTGGTAGCACCATGAATCCATTCAAGGAACGTAGGCGGGGGCATATGCCATCTTTTAATAGCAGTAATTATAATTACAAGACTTCATTATCCAAGTATTTTTGGAGTCTAAAAGAAAAGAATAAAACACCTACTGTTAAATGGAAATTAATCAGGAGTGACCGAACATGTAACTCTCTATATGACCCATGTTATCTTTGTCTTAACGACAAATTTAACGAAAAATTTGAAATAATTAGATTTAAAAATAAGACTCATCTCTTAAATCAAAGATATGAACTAACAGTTAACTGTAAACACCGTTATAAATTTAACTTATTATAGGGGTTGTAATACTTTCAATGATAATGATATGTCATTGTAAATTTAATAAGTTATTATTTTTATTACCTGATGGTCGTCCTGTTGATATGGGTGTGTGTTGGTATACGTATACTATGTTGTTCATGTCGGTATCTGTGTGTATGTATGTGTGTGTGTGTGTTTTTTCTAATACTGGATGTGTATATATGTATATATATATAAGTAGGTTATATATATATATATATATATATATATATATATATATATATATATATAAATATATAAAAATAAATAGGTAAAAAGAAGAGAAAAGAGAGGAGGATAAAATATATGTATATATAGGTATATATATGTCAGATGTATTGTGGATTTATATTTCTATTTACGTATATATTTCTATTTACGTATACTTCTGTATGTATGGATTTGTTTATGTATGTATGTAGTGATACATGTATATATGTGTATATATGTTTATGTATGTATATGTATGTAAGTATATATATGTATATAGTTTAGTATGTATGTGTTTATGTGTATGGGCGTATATATATATATATATATATATATATATATATGTACTTGTAATTATAGGGATGTATATGTATGTATATGTATGTACATATATGTGTGTGTATGTTTTTGTGTATGTGTAGACACCTATCCTATGTGAGCTTGTTTATGTGTAGGTGTAGGTATGTAAACTTTGCCTTGTATCTACAGGTGCGTGTGTATATGTATGTGTGTATACATGTATATGTGTATATTGTTGTATTTGAATGTATATATATATATATATATATATATATATATATATATATATATATATATATATATATATATGGAGGTAATGTGCTATTCGATAAAAGTGACTCATCTGATTTTTTTTACTTAAAAACTTTTTCGCCTATTGTTTTTGGGGTCAAACTAATTTTTAATCTTACTAATATAAAGGCACCTCTTGACCACATAGTAAAAAAGTTTACTCACCCTAAGGTATTCTATTGATAATTATAATTTTGGATATAAATGAGATTTAGGGAAAAACTCTGTGCAAAAAAGTGACTCACTTATTTCCTGCAACTAGTAATCAATATAAACATAACCGAACAGCTTTGAATAAAGAATGATAAAGGTATAATTTATTTATAATAGGTAATATAGTTCGAAATATATAATAATCTATGGGTCCTTCTTTATTTTGAATAACCTTTTCAATCCTTTTTGGCATTGACTTGATTAGGTTCTGGCAAATCTCATCTCCAAGCATTGAATTACATTCAGATATGAAATTCACAATCAAATCCTCTTTGTTGCTCAACTGCTTTCTCGAGAGCCTGTACTTTATAATGCTCCATAAGTTTTCTATGGGGTTGAGGTCAGGAGATTGGGGCGGCCATGTCATAACATTCACCTGCTTCTCATCAAAGTATTCCTTCATCAATTTTGATTTGTGACAGGGAGCATTATTTTGCATAAAAATGAGCTTGGTGGAGTCGATTTGCACCCTTTCAGCAGGAGGGAGCAGACAGGACTCTAAAATTCTCATGTACTGCTCGCTCCTGAGGGTGTTTTCAATAGGTTTTAAGAAACCAGTTCCATAAAAAGAAAAGCACCCCCAGAACATTATACTGAAAGGATGCTTGACAGTACTTACTGCTAAATTCAAAGAGCTTTCAAAGCTTCTTCGGATTTTAGATCGCTTAATTTAGCTCAACTTTCGTTTAATCGGAGAAGAGAACATTTAGTAAAAAAAAATCAGGTTAGTCACTTTTACCGACCAGCATTGTATATACAAGCTTGGATGTGTGCGTGTGTACTTACATCTGTGTATAT